CCTCATTGTATATCGACAAAATAAAATTTTAAAAAAATAATAATAATAAAATAAAATAAAATAAAAAAGAAGGTAAAAACCCTAATTTAAAGCAATCAATTGTTGATATTTAAATTAAACTTTTCAAGTACCTCATTGTATATCGACAAAATAAAATTTTAAAAAAATAATAATAATAAAATAAAATAAAAAAGAAGGTAAAAACCCTAATTTAAAGCAATCAATTGTTGATATTTAAATTAAACTTTTCAAGTAGGGGCCGGCCCGTGGCTCACTCGGGAGAGTGTGGTGCTGATAACACCAAGGCCCTGGGTTCGGATCCCATATAGGGATGGCCGGTTCGCTCACTAGCTGAGCGTGGTGCTGACAACACCAAGTCAAGGGTTAAGATCCCCTTACCGGTCATCTTTTAAAAAAATAAATAAATAAATAAAATAAATTAAACTTTTCCCTCAATCGGGATTTTCATATCAGTTATACATGTGGTCATTTTAACTGATTTTTTTTGTTACTGACCATATCATCACTCATTCCTTGATACCCTCTAGCTCAAATAAAATCAAATTAAAAAGTATATAATGGAAATGTTACATGATTCATTCAGTCATTTCTATAATTTTACCAAAGTACTGAAAATATCCAAATTCAGATATCAGTACTTTCAGTACTGAATTTGAAACAGTAACTAAAATTGTTTACATACTATTAGCTCATCTTCAGCTAAAGAAAATACAGTTGTCCCTCTTGAGATAGCAGAGCCATTTTTCCTATTAACATAAAAGTTATCCTACATACCATTTCTGGAATAGGTACCTCCAGCTGTGTACCAGAAGGTGCCTGAATGGCCAAAAGAGTATCACCTGGTCAAAAAAATATGAACAATTGTAGAAAATACTATTGATATGGAATACAGTGGCAAGAGTATGGGCTCTGGATTCAGAATACTGGATTTAAATCCCCGGCTAGGTGACTCTGGGCTTTGGTTTTTAATTCTATAAAACAGGGGACATATAACCTACAGCACCGGTTTGATTTGAGAATTTACTGAGATAACGTATTTATTAGTAGCTCTTAGAAAAGGGTAATACTCAGCGTTAGCTCTATTATTCTCATTAACAAATTCAGCTCAAGTTAATCTTACTTTTACTCAGTCTCCTATAAAGTCTGAGATTCTTAAAACCTTTTAGCCTCAAGTAAATAATACTGTTTACTTGAAATATTTAAACTACTTAAATGACTGAGGATATTAGAGATTAGGTATGATACAGTGAAATCTTGAGCTTTAAGTGAATTTATTTTTGAAGCCAAATTCTACAGATCTATGTTGAGTAGAACTCTCCTGAAACTTTCTTAGAAAGCACAGGAAATATGGTGGCAATATACAGCAATAAGCCCACACATATTTCCAACAGTCTTACATGGAAAGTCAGATTCCACTTGAGAAGACATTTGGCAGAATTCTTTTTTTCTGTGTGGATAATGCATAAGGCTGTCCCTTTTAATAGAACATACATAAATATAAATGTGTATGCAGAATTTCATTTTACTTGAGTTATGGGAACATATTCCCCCCATCCCTCCATTTTAGTTATTCATACATCGTACTGTCATTTCAAGGGAAAACATGCGGATGGGGAATGGGATAGGATTAGGAATAATTTTTCTGGTTATAAAATGGATTCGCCTTACTCTTCCTCATGCTTTCTTTGGGTTCCATTTGTGACCAGTGCACTTGCTGCATATAATTCCATGAACAGTGCTGATGAAACAGTGTTCTAGTTCAAGTTTGGTCTCCGACTCTGTGACTTTGAAATTGTTGCTTAGCCCCACTCTGATTCATCTTCCCCTCTGCCCCCTGCCCCTTCTCCTCCCACACATGAGTTATACCTACCAATGGAGTTAATGAAGTGAAAGCTGTCAACAGCAGTTACTGTCATAAAAACAGAAATAAAAGCAGTCTACCAATACACAGCACTGTAGAGGGAAACAAAATGTCTACAACTTCTGAAAATAATGACTCAGACATTATTAGACATTACATGGGAAATTCTGAATCCCTCTAATACTAAATAGGTTGAACATAGGAAGAATGTAAGAAAAAAATTTAACAGTACTTACCATTAAAGCAATTACAGATGTCTTCATGAGTTACATAGGAAAATGTACTGTCGTAACAGTTAAGGAACAACACTTACACTCCCATAAAAGCCCAGGCATTTAAATTAAAGTAATAAATCTGAAGGTCAAAATAACTAAATGACCAAATTCATGAAGAGGCTGCCACACATGGTCAGATAAAAAAGAACAGAAGTCTTTAGTGTGGAAAGGCAAAAACAATCAATAAAAGACCATAAGAGGAGTTCTTATGCTTGCTGAGAAGAAGCCATGCTGGTTTTCTGTGGCATCTGAGGACCCTCGGGAGAGAGATGGAAAACAGTGCACATTCTTCATGGAGGCAAGGGCTTCTGGGGGAAGGGGATAGATGGGAAAAAGGAGGCACCAGCAGGAGTGGAGAGCAACCATATAAGCTTTCACATGGATCATTGGTTTGTGTTCTTTTATGAAATGGTCTGTCAGGTACCACCACAAGAGGAGACAGAGGAGAGGCTCAGGAAAACAAAGTTTATTATACTTACAGGTCCTAGAGACAAGAGGCATGGCAGGCCACACAGGGCCACCTGGGAAAGACACCAGGGTGGTCAAGAGGCAGAAGACAGCAAGGGGAAAGCATCAGGCCAGAAGCTTTATTGGAGTTTCCATGGGAAAGTTAAGGCAGAGTTCGGTGAACAGTTTAGGATTGGCTTTAAACTGTAGAGGTAGACCCGATTTGTCTGGTACCTGGCCCTACGATGATTTAGGCAGAGGAATATTGCCTCCTGGGGTGAAAAAGTGGACAGAAGAGGTTTGGCTCTGGACTGGTTACTTTGTATATCAAAGGCATGCTCCCATCTGAGCCCTTGTTATCTCTAAGAATTGGCTAACTCCAGGAGGGGTTGTCTTCCCAGCCAGAAAATTTTTTTTTTCCTTTTTGTCTTTTTTCGTGACCGGCAACGGATCACAACCCTCAGTGTCGCGCCCGCACCGGACCGGGACCGGCAACGGGATTGCAACCCTCGGTGTTGCGCCCGCACCCCACTCAGCCAGTGAGCGGCCGGTCTGTATGTGGGATCCGAACTCTCGGCGGGAGCGCCGCTGCGCTCCCAAGCGGTGCACTGTAGCAGTGCGCCACCGGGCCGGCCCCAGAAAAAATTTTTAAGATGTCAAAATATCATAACATACATGAAATATATCTATACCTATATAAATATATCTATCTATATCTGTCTACCTATCTATCTAAAATAGTTATGGTTGAGAAAATTGGGAATGACCGAAAACTTATAAAGCAGCAAAGTCCAAGATCAACTAGTTCAATGATTTTTGAATCTTGGGTTTCCACATGGCACAGCTTGAAAATCCCCACTGCTGTCAAACTGTGACAGAGCTCTGATCCATCGAAAGGAAATAAGAAATGAGATCATGGACTTGTTCACCAAATACAAGACAATGTGAAAAATATATTGTGTACATTAGCCAAAATTTTATGAGAGGTGGTACAAGACAAAAATGTGGTTAAAGTCTCCCTAAGAGTACAGGAAAACTCACAAACCAAGAGAATCACAGATAGCTAAGAGAAGACAGTGGTTTGTAGGAAACACATGGAGTATATTTATCACTAATGTTCCCCCCCCCACCACCAATACAGTATGATAGAAGCACAACCCTTGGACCCCCCAAAGGAACTATGTTTGAGTTAATATTAGGCAGAAAGTATCATAGATTAATTGTGGGCCCATGATATCTCATCTTCAAACCAAAATTAATTTTTCAAAACCTTGAGAGTTGCTGAATTTTTGCCACTTCAGAACACTGAACATAATTCTTTAAAAATAACTATGCATATAACAATGGCTTCTAATATTCACAGACCCCTCTAGGCACACTTTGGCTAGCATACTGCAGGCTAGTGATGGGTAGACCAAAAGTAGTTAATCTTTTGAAACACAGAAGTAATGTTAATGGGATGTGCTATATAACTTAAAAAGGTAAAATTATTTAAATATATAGTATAAATTAGAGGAATATTATAATATTAAAATGTTATATTCACTTAACAAAACTTAACTCTAAAAACACTACACTAAAGTAACTGACCTTCAGATGGGAAGAATATATTATATACACACATATTCTACAGTTCTACATATAACTTATTTAAAAGGATATCTATTATTAATGGAGTCGTCCATCACATTTTTGATGCTTTGCTGTAGCCACAACTTCTGTTGATCAAGTTCTTTTTCCTTCAGTTCTAGATCTTCAATTTCAGCTTTAAGGTATCTTAATCTATCTACAACTTCTTTAGTATTACAGCCAGCACCTACGCCTCTTAAAAACATAAGAATTAATACCCTCGGTATCTGACATAGGTTAACACCACTTAATTTTTGTAGTAATAAAGCTTACATTTAATAATATATTCCAGACAAAAATCTTTACACTATTCTAAAAATCGGGCATTAAAATCCTTAGAAAATTTAAATGCCATACTTCCAAATATGTATGCTTAGAAAATTTACTGATTGTCTACGGCCATACCACCCTGAACGCGCCCGATCTCGTCTGATCTCGGAAGCTAAGCAGGGTCGGGACTGGTTAGTACTTGGATGGGAGAAAATTTGCTGACAAGAACACCCTAATTACAAAAATTCTCAATCTGCCCTAAAGTGTTTTTTGTCATCTGGAAGGTCCAGCTGGTGACTTAAGTACCAAATGGATGCCCAAACTAAACAGTCACACCTAGCAGTCTTATGATGTAGACTGAGTTGCTGGTAAAATAAATTACAATCTTTCAGTATTTTGGTGGAATTTTGGCTAAAAAAACAAAACACTAAAGCCAAAGGGGATACATCTGAAGAACAGAAAATATTTCCTTGTTACAGTCAAATATACAACCAGGCAACAGTTAATAAATGACAACATGCATTCAATTAATTATTTACAAGGTACATATTCTTATGTATAAGACACAGTTCCTGTTTTCAAGGAGTTTCTATTAGTTGGGTAGATAAAGATTTAGGCAGAGAGGGATTAACAACAAAGCAGTATGCTAGTGAGTAGAATAAGGGAGAAAATAAGATTTGAACTTTTTAAGAGTGTAAATTAAACAGCAGAGAGAACAAAGGAACATCCCAACAGAGAAATGGCATAATCAGAGGTCCAGAGAGGTGTGTCCAGGGGAACATGAGGGGCTGACGTGACTAGAGGGCTGAGATAGAGGACTTAGGAGAGAGAAATGTTAGAAAGGTCAGATTTTACAGACATTGGGAAGAAAAGTAAAGGTTTTAGAATAGTGTGCTGGTTTGTAACTTACTTCCATTGGATACTATTTTTTGACTTTTTTTCAATCAGGTCAATTCCTTCTAAGACATTGGTGATATCATAAATTCTTCTTTTTTGCCTTACAGCCAAAGTATCTGCAGCCTGTTTAGGAAAAACAAACAAACAGAAAGAACAATGAAATAAAGGGCAATTCATATTTTAAAGCCAAAAAGGATTGGTTATTAAGTTCATAGTGTGAGAGTCCAATCCCAAATTTGACCCAGTCAGTTGCTTGGGAACAATAGCTTGGTATGTTCAAAGCATCTCCCAAACGTTGCAAATGCCAAAGAAAGTGTTCCATTTAAAAGCTAGCAGATGTTGGAATGGAAAAAAAAAATTAAGGTCATGACACAAAGCCCACAAAAATTAAAGAACACAATAAGAATACTTCATGTCACCTTATGGATTAATCCTGAGGAGGAGCTACTAATTGTCTAGCCATGTCACTTCCCATCTTATTTCTCTGTTCATAAACAATCTTGTCTAAGGACAGCCTTACTTGCTTTACAAAACTTTGAAAAATTATATCTCAGCAATTTTGGGGATAATTAAGACACTTGGGGGGTGGATTCTGAATTATTCACACACTTGTTATACTTTAAAATAACTATCTGCATTTTATAAACTCACAGTGAAAACAGAGAAATAAATCATGCCATCCCAACACAAAGCATAAAATCAATAAGAAATCAAAATCTATACCACAAGGTTGTTGTACCAGCAACTATCATCCAAAATCTTGGTAGTTTCATTTACATTAGATAAGATCAACAAAAATATGACACACTATCATGTTATGAATGAATTCAAGAACACTGTAAAGTTCCCTTAATTAGTTACCACTCATATTTCTGACATTTGTTTGCCAATAGAACAAAGAAAACCTCAAAGAAGATGTTACCATACAGATGAGTGGATCAGAGGACAGCCTATCTTGAATGTAGAGCCAAATTTTAAGATCTATAGTAGTAATGAGAAAACACACACACACATTTATGTCCCCACTGATAATTTTCAGCACATTATCTAAATTAGCGAACAGGATTTAGCTTTACATCATTGATCACCAGCTCTCCCAGGGCATCGCTACTTTCTTAATTCTGTGAAAAAGCAGCTCCTACAAAAACCCAGCACAGCATATTGTTTGCAATCTGGACCTGCCTTCCACAAGAAGCAAGAGCCACTGACAGCTACTGCTTACTTCATGGACATTTGGAAACTTAAGTGAAATGTCGCTTCTCTCAATCCATTTTCTTGTGTTACCAAAAATTCCAGGTTACTACTGTCCAATCATTCAGGTCTTCTTCAGGAAGGGGATTCATGCCTCAGTGGACTGGGAGAGTAAGTAGGATGTCGTAGAGAGAAGGAAGAACTGGAAAGTGGGGCTCTTTTGAGTCCCCAGCTCTGACTTGGCACCATTTCTTCTAGAGAACCAGAAAGTTAAAGAGTGGGACTAGGCACAGTTTCAATGATATCTTCTTCCCTTGTACTTAGCAATTCTCTCCTGTTTTATATATCTTCGGAAAATTTCTGTTCCCGAGTTTGAGGCTGTTTTTCTGAACAGAAATAGACTACTGCAAAGTTAACTGCAAAAATGTGAAGTTGAGGAGTCACCTTTCACTTTCCTCTGAAAGGCCCTCCAGAAGTAACCCAGGACACTCCAAGCCGCAGCTCTATGTTATCAGAACCTATGTACTCAGACGCAAAAGCATTCACAACCATAGCAACAGCTCACCGGTGCTGGTATTAGATGTGTTTGTACAAACCAGACCACAAGAGTTATTCTAGGTCATCAGGCAAAGTGCCATGAGATTTAACTTTTAGCTCAAAATTTTAAACAAGTATCTCGTTTATATTTATTACCACTTAACAGTCACAACATTTAACCCTTGGTTTCCAAAACTAAACATTATTTCTTAAATACTTTTCTATTTAAGTTTATAAACACATAAATGACCAACTAGTACAGATCATATCACTTAAAAGGGTCTCCAGGAGGCTTTTATTTTAGCTGTCACATCATTCTTCAGGAGTTAGGTTCTGGAGTTAGACCCATGGAGGTCCAGTCCTGGCGCTGCCACTTCCTATCATCGGCTGGTCTCTCTCTTTTTTTTTTTTTGTGCCAGTACAGGTCCAAACTCTTGACCTTGGTGTTATAACACTGTGCTCTAACCAACTGAGCTAACCGGCCAGCAGCTGTCTCTGAAGCTCACTAAGCCGCATTTCCTTTTGTGTAAAATGGTATAACAACATATACTGAATGGGGGTATTACGGGGATTAAACTGGGTAATCTTAGCACAATGTCTGTTGCATAATTAATACTTAAATGTTGGCTAGTAACAAACTCATCATCAAGTACAGGTTGAAATGGGATCGTGGATAAGTTTTAGAGTGTGGGTGTATGCAGACCTACCTTGTTTAATACGGTGTTTTAAAAAGTTGTGGGTGAATTCTTAAAAAGCTTTATTAAATAATTTAAGACTTGCACACTTAACAGAATCACACCATGAATCCCCACCACCACCACCACCTTCATTCATTCATTTAACACCTACAATGTTACAGGGACTTAAGGTTCTGGGTCTTAAGAATACAGTAGTGACAGAACAAAGTCCCTGTTTGGATGGAGGAAGTGGCTGTGGAAGTGGTGAGAAATGGTGAGATTCTCGATATATTCTGAAGGTATAGCTGTTTGCTCTGAGAGAGAGGAGTAGAGGATGACTCCAGTCTTTTTTTTTGAGCAATTACAGATGAGGAATACTACAAGAGAAACAGGTTTGGGGTACTGGAAATCAGGAATTTCACCTTGGACGTTCTGACATCCAAGGAAGGAAACCAATTGGACATGTGAGTGTATGCCCCAGGGGAGAGGTCCAAACTAAAGATATGAATTCAGTAGTCATCAGTGAATAGGCATTTTAGGTTGCAAGATGGAATCTACCAGGTTCACCCAAGAGGTGAACACAGAAAGAAGGAGCCCAAGGACTGACTCTGGGGCAGTCCAATGTGTAAGGCCTGGGAAATGGGGGCAACCTGCCATTGAAGAGGAGAAGCAGGAAGACTGGGGTCTTGGAATGCAAAGAGGAGAGTGTAAGAAAGAGTGAGCATGTCAAGTACTGCCATGAGGGCAAGTCACCGAGAACCATCGGTGGACTTACCTTTGGAAAGATCACTGGTGACCTTGATCAGAGCTGGCTTGGCAGAGTGGTGGGGCCAAAAGCCTTAATGAAGACATTTCAAGAAAGAGTGGAAGGAAAGCTAGAGTAGACAACTCTTTTGAAGAGTTCTGCAGCAAGGAGGAACAGAGAAATGGGGCAATATCTGTAGAGAATTGTGTGGTCTCTGGGAAATGTTTTTTCTTCCTTTCTCTTTTCTTTTACAGATGGGAACTATTTCAGCATGTGAGTAAACTGATAGGAATGATGTGGTAAAGGGGGAGAGGGATAATTAACGATGCAGAAGGGCGAAGGGACAGTCACTAAAGAGATGACTGTAGGTAAGCACGGGGGGTGGGGGCGTGAGATGCTAATCAGACCAGCTGGGGGGCTAGCCTTAGAGAACAGCAAGACGTATTAATAAGAGAAGTCCAGAAGGGTATTTGGGTACAGATATAGGTAATTTAGTAGACAAGGCAGGGAAAGAGGTTAGATATTTCCCTCTGACTGCTTTTTATTTCTTCATCAGCACTGGGGTGGTGGGGGAGAGGGAGGAGATGAGTAATAGTTGAGAAGGGAGAAGACTGTGTGAAATACTCACATAAGACAACAAGAGAGTAGGTAGTGCAGGAGGAATGCTGGACAGTACTTGTGAAGTTAATGGTCAGGAAGTTAAAATGAGACCCATCACCATCATTGTGCATTTTTCTCCAGCCCTGGAGAACTCCCCGGGTATAGCCAAAGGGCGGGCAGAGAACAAAGTGAGTCTCCATTCTCTTCCCATGCTTGCCACTGTAGCTGTTGTTCACACACGCATGCATCAAATTTACTCAGAAAGGTTGCATTTACTACAACAGGATTTGACCTGTGTAGCCATAAAGGAAGCATCTAATTGTATCACACCAACTCAGTTTACAGGAAAAATAAACAAATGAACAAAAATAACCCTTTGAAAGAAATAGATCTCCCCTCCAAATATTAAATCCCTCTCTAAAAATATGATGTGTCACTAATGGTGAACAAGGCAATGTCTATAGGTGGAACAAAATTAAAGCTTGTGATGTTTTTAAGAGGTGGGCAAGACAAATAAACCAGGACAGGTGGGAGCGATAGTATATAGGTATTAAAAAAAGGGCTTTAATAATCATGTGGCCACACCCCTTCACTTGAACAAATGAGTCCACTAAGACCCAGTGTTACCTCTGGACAGGGAGAGAGATTATGTGGCAGCTTTATTTGAGTTACAATTAGTTGTGGCTCATTTGCTCAGGGATGTTCTTCTGATGGAGCATAATGCTGCATTCAAAAAGGCTAACATCCAAACAATAACTATAGGCAACATACTGTCTTTCAGGTTCTCCTTCTGTAAAGCAGGTGCTTTACTCTCTTCCAGGATCACAACAATCAGTACATGTGCACTCAATGTTTTAGCTACTGTGCTTCAGAAATTAACATCACAGGAAAGAGGACCAGAATCCAAAAACCAAATATGTGCAACAAAGCACTATATCAGGGGCGGCCTGCGGCTCACTCGGGAGAGTGCGGTGCTGATAACACCAAGGCCACGGGTTCGGATCCCATATAGGGATGGC